CCTGAACCCCGACGCTGGGAGGTAGAAACAGGAAATCAGGAGCCCAAGTCCGTTCTCTCCTACATACTGAATGACAGACCAGCCTGGGCTATGTGAGACCCAAAAATAATAAAAAAAAAAAGTAAATAAAAATAAAAAGGTAGTCTAATCTCAAGCTACTGAAATTCATGTGTGTTTGTATACAGAGGAGGGAAAAAAGCCCAGTTATAACATCAAATCTCTGCTATATACTAAGACTTAGCAGTGGTTTTCCTGGGACTTGAAGATGATCTCTTCAGCCACTGCTGACCCCAGCCTATGAGGGTGCCGTGCTGAAGTGTACGCTAAGGGTCAGTACGGTCAAGCCTACAGCATGACTGTCGGTGATGAAGAGAGATGGAGACAAGTAGGAATTCTGCAGAGCTGTCCCAACATGGAAAACTTACAAATGACTTTGTCACGAGACACAGGGTGTGTGTGTGTGTGTGTGTGTGTGTGTGTGTGTGTGTGTGTGTGGTGTGACAAAGTGTAACCAGTCTCTCCTTTTGGACCCCAGCACAGGTGAAGCTAAGAACTTGTCACAGTGGGATCTGACTTACCTGGACACCACAGTGACTGGCTTTCGATGGCTGTGAGTCCCTCACTGGCTGAGCGTCACCTCTTGGGCCGTATCACACTACTGAGCACTGCGTTCGTGGAGGGAGGAGCTGTTGTCACACGGGAGCTACCGGTTCCCCTACATCTTCTGTAGGTGTTACTCAGGGTTCCTAGGACAGGGATGGCTCCTCCCCTTGTTTTCCCCAAGCAGAGGTGGTCACAGACCTGACTACAGAGTCAGCTCCCACCCAAGGACTGATTGCTTGCATTTATTCGTTCGTTATTCACTCACTCGCCCAACACCTGTTTTGAATGAGGACCACATGTCAAGCCTGCAGTCCAGGGTTGGACATACAAACACTGGACCCTGGGTACTTCCATAATGCCGTCCTAGGACGTTTCTAGGACCGGGTCTCCCCAGTTCCTAACTTTGCAAGTATACCATACCATAACTCAGCTCTAATAGCTGCCTTTGTGGTTAAGTGGGGGAAAGAATCATCATCTCGGCCTCCCATCATTTTCTCTGCACTTCCAATATATATAATTATGACAGGTTGTATACTTTCCTAAATTCCAGAAGGAGAGACTGTGAGGGGCTCCCTAAAGAGTAGGCATGTTTCTGGTCTCCATGGAGATACTAATACATCGAATTATTTTCGTCCCCTTCTTTGCCTTTTATGCTCACTCAAAGACGTGAAAAGAACAACGAATTGTGCTCTTGACACATATTCTGGGCCACAAAGGACATCTCCAATACTCCTATAGAGAACCTCTTCCACAAAAGGAACTCCCTGCTTATCAGCCTCCCCTAAACCAGTTCTAAGTCTCCTCCGAGCTCGAAGAGTACAGCAGAAAGCGGGACTCCCAACAATAACTCTCACCCTTGACTTCTGGAGTCAAAGAGATAGACATGCCCAAACGCCACGTTATGAAGAACAGCTGGACAGCGCAGGCGTTAGCGATTTAAATGCGCAGATTAGAGAAAGGGGCTCAGACGGTGAACTTCAAAGAGAGCAGTGTGAGTGGACGATTAGGTAACAGCTCCTTGACAGCTTCTACTCCTACAGAGTTCTGTGTAGCTGATGGAGACAAATGATTAGCATCTGTGTAAAGAAACAGGTGTCACCGCTGTCCGGTGACACAGTAGCAAGGACACCAGCTACGTCCTCATCCGCGGCCAAGGAGGCTGTTACTGGACACTAACTCTGGGTCACCTTTTCATCACACCTGCCTTAGTCTTCCCCGGGCGGCCACAGAATACCACAATACAGATCTGGAAGCCTGGGGTCGGGGTGTTGGCAGAGGAGGTTTCTTCCGAGGCTTGAGACTAGCCACCATGCCCCATCTTCCTCTGAGTGTCTTGTCCTGATCTTCCCCTCTTTTATTCGGAGAACAATCAGAATAGGTGAGGTTAGCGATACCCTAGTCTGCCCTGGCTCCAAGTACAGCCACATTCCTGCCAGTTTCTGGTTGATGGGGGGTTAGAGAGCTTCTGAATGCCAAGGGACGGACAAACAGGGTAAGAATAAAATGGAGCTTTCTTAAGGAGCCTTCTTGGGGCCTTCTGGAAGCCTTCTAGAAGCTTTTTGTTTTGTTTTGGATTTACAAGATCCTCCTGCCTCTGCCTCCCGAGTGCTGGGAATAAAGGCGTACGCCACCACCGCCCGGCTTCTAGAAGCTTTCTTACACCACCGACTGGTCTCTGTGTCATCAATCCCGACACCCTCCGCACATTCTCAGACACAGGCTGCGCGATCAAACGGGGGCTGCTGTCACTCTGTTTCTTACCAGCCCTCTTCCAGGGTTCCCCGAGGCTTAGCTCCGTGGAACGAGCCAGCCTCCTCTCTCTGAGGCTGTGGGCCTCCTTCCGTTCTCATGTCTCCTGTCTGCGGGCAGGTGTTGCTTCATCCTGCAATCTTGCTGGGCAGGGAGGCCAGAGCACTACTCCCTAGGCCCCAGAATGTAGAGAGTTCCTCTGGTGAGTGTCCCCGAGGCACAGAAATCACTTGGGATGCACAGCAGGAACTCCCAGGGAAGAGTTTAGCTGATCAGGGGACATGTGAAGACTGAGTTCAGGCCACCTTGTCCAAATAAGATCTTTCCCCTCAGCGCCAGCCTGTCCCTAGTGCAGTTACACTTTGGGAATGTAAGGTCCCAGGAGACCGGGGTCTCAAAGCCTCACGCAGCCAGAGGAAGGTTTGGTGGCATCAGGGTACCCCTGAGGGACCGCAGGCTGTTCATTGGGGTACCCCTGAGGAACCGCAGGCTGTTCATTGGGGTACCCCTGAGGAACCGTAGGCCGTTCAGAAGCACCCACTAGAGCAGGTTCTCTAAAAAAAAATTATCTCGTGAGATTTTCCTCAGCAAAGAGCCTATTAACAAGGCTCGTCACACTTCATACTCTGAACAGTGGCCACTTGACCCTGCCAATCAAATCAACTTCTAAAGGCTTCAGTACACATAGAGTCAACGAGTGCTCTCTCTCGCTCTGTGTGTGCGTGTGTGCGTGTGTGCGTGCGTGTGTGCGTGTGCGTGCGTGTGTGTGTGTGTGTGTGTGTGTGTGTGTGTGTGTGTGTCTCCCTCCCAAGCCTGGATTTGCTCTTCAATAGATCCAGAAAGGACACAAATGAAATCATCCCCTAGAGCGTGATGTCATCCATCCTACAGGAACAGACTGCCACTCCACCGCTAAAAAGCTCTTGGCCCTGATTCCTGACAAGCAAGATAAATTGTGGATAATGATTTTAATTTTCACTTCAAGCAGATCCACAGAATCATGGGCCCAAGGAACGCTGCATAGTCACACAAAGCAAAGTGTGCAGAGTGGTCACAGTTTCAGATTCTGAATACAAATGACTTCAGCAAGCCTGAGATCATTGCAGAAATCATCTGCCTTCAAAGATTCTCCTGGAAAATACACAAATACACACACACACACACACACACACACACACACACACCATGTATGTTGACTCTCCAGCCCATTTTTCATTTGGTTTCCTAGCTAGGCTAGTGATGTTATTGAGACCCTTTGCATAACAAGTGCCAGGAACTTCCCTCCAATCTCAGTAAGTTCGAGAGAATTTTTACCTGAGTATAGGAAAGCCAAACTTGAATAATCAGACCTAGATAAACCCAAGAGGCAATGTTATGGTTTCAGTGTGAAATGTTACCAACAGCTTCATTTGTGTTTAATGGTACGTTGGTTGGGGGCCTATTTTGTTTTAGGTTGCTTTTGGTATTCTCTCTGTGTGTGTGTGTGTGTGTGTGTGTGTGTGTGTGTGTGTGTGTGTGTGTGTGTGTGTGTGTGTGTGTGCTGTGTGCTCCCAAAGTTGAAAATGGCCATCGTCTTTTGCGATCGCTTCTCACTTTATTGACTGAAACAGACTCTCTCACTGAACCCGGAGCTCACTGATTCCTATGAGTTTAGCCAATCAGTTTGCTCCAAGGATCCTTTTCTCAGCCTCTGGAACTCTGGGGTTACCCATGTCCACTATGCCTGCCTGGCTTTTACATAGGTGGGGGGGTCATACTCCAGTCATTTTACTTATTTATTTAGGGGCGTTTCTTTTTTTACTTTTTGAAACAAGGTCTCACTATATAGACTCGGCTGACCTGGAGCTCAATGTGTGGACCAGGCTGGCCTTGAACTCGCAGAGAACTGCCTGTTTCTGCCTCTTGAGTGCTGGGGTTAAAGGTGTGCGTGATCACCATGCCCAGCTAGCCAGTCCTTATTCTTGCACTGCAAGCACTTTATTCAAAGACCCATCTTCAGGGTCCTCCCCCCTTTTGAAGTATTTCTATACTGAATTAAAAGCAACACAAAATGCAGAGGAATCATCGGCATGTCATCTTGAAAGTCACCCCGAGTCTTAGTGTCACTCCCAGAGAAGCAATACATCTCACCGCTTAGGGTCGCAGTAGGTAATGCTAGCTCTTAAAATCAAATTGCTGTGCCAGATCCAACACCCTGAATTTAACCAAACTGTGGAAATACACTTTTACACAAAATACCTCCCCTTCAGATCAGCAGCGGCTTTAATTGCTGACTCAACCCTTTCCAACTGTGAAAAATACCCACACTGACTCATCGTTAGGAGCACCAGGAACCTCAGAGAGAACACACTCTCCAGCCTTGCTGCGTTGTTCACATTCTCCCTCTGTTTCCACTTCCAAGTCTTTGTCAGCTTCTTCTGAACCCACTGAGGTCCTCGGCTGGCACAAGGGGCTCTCCTGAACCCACCGAGGTCCTTGGCTAGGACACGCTAGTAGGTCACGTAAGTATTGCAGTTCCGGATCTGAGTGTTGATGCGGAAGTCCTGTGTATATGTCAATAAAGCACTGTTGGCCAATAGGGAAGCAAGATAGGTGGGACTAGGAGTCCAGGAGGACTCTGGGTAGGAGAAACACAGGAAGTCAAGATGTAACCGCCATAGGGGTAAGAAGCCCGCGGGAAACTTCTCCGGTAAGAGAAATACTTAGATTAACAATCATGGGGTGAATACTTAAGTCAGAGCTAGCCAGTAAGAAACAAGCAAGGCCAACAGCTTCATAATTAATATAGCCTCCTGTGTGTTTATTTGGTACTGATGCGGCTCTGGAACCAGGCTGGTGAAAAGGCTTCTCTCTACAGAGTGTGGCTTCTTGGATGAGTTCTGAGACTCCCTTCTGTGCCCCTGTCACCCACAACGGTCCTGCCTTCCTCTTGTTGGTCTTCTCCACTGATAATGCAGTGCTCACTCAGCCCCTGCTCATGTTTCCCCCAGCCTCTGGCCTTGCTGGAAGCCACACTTCCGAGTCCTGCATTGATCATGTACATCCTACTGTGCCAGCGGTGTGAGCACAGAGGAACCACACTCACTTTTTGTTTTTACGTTTGTTTTTATGTGTGTGTGTGTCGGTCTAGACTAAGATCACGTGTCGTCTAGGCTGGCCTAGAACTCATTATGCAGCTGCTTCTGGCCCCTAGCGTCGGCGTTATAGGCAAGGAGCACAGCAGTAAGCAGGCTCGTGTTTTACACACCTGTTCCCGAGCTGGTGACTAGCGTGAGGTCTGTGTGTCACCTTTAGGAGACGAGTGGTGCACAGTCACCAGGGGTCATTTAAAGGTCATCCCCACCCCTGATTCCAGTAGCTCTCTGCCTCCTGTGTGTGGCGTACGAACCCCCACGGGCACATAGTCCTGGTACCCCAGGCTGAGCGTGGCCTGCTTTCATTCCTTATGTCCGGTTCACCCCTTCTGTCTATAACAGACTGAAATCCACTGAGAAGAAGGGAGTCTCTCTTCAGTTGTTGCTGCCGGGAATTTTGGTTTCGGAAACAGCTAGCAGAGGTGGGCTCAAGGGCAGGACCAGAGCCCTTTCTCTTCTCTCTTTACATGTAACTCACTAGGAATAACTCCCATCTGTTCTCTTGGTGTGATACCAAGAGCTACCCTATGGGGACCTCGAAATTCCAGAGAAATTATCTTTTTTATTGGGGTCCTATATATAAAATCTCACTGGGTACCGGGCGTTGGTGGCGCACGCCTTTAATCCCAGCACTCGAGAGGCAGAGGCAGGCGGATCTCTGTGAGTTTGAGGCCGGACTGGATGAACAGCCTCCAAAACAATACAGAGAAACCCTGTCTCGTAAAACCAAAAAAAAAAAAAAAATCTCCCTGAGTAAATCTAAATTTGTGAGTATCTACTGTTAGCGGCCAGTGGGCAAGAAAGCACAGTGTCAGAAGAGACCGATCCACATGGTTTTCCACGTTACAAGGTGGAAAGGGGCCCTTCTGCAGTGGGGAAAAGACCCTTGGCATGATACAGTCTGTCCCGAGGCTTCCAGCACGTGTGTGTGAAGACAGAACACACACACACACACACATGTTTGCTCATACAATCTGCCTTTACACACATACAACTTTTATGTTCCCCCCCGAAAAGCTGTAAGAAACATTTATTCCCCTTAAACAGAGAGCACACCGACAGACTGTCACAAAGGATTCTGCTTGGTGAGTCAGTCAGTTTACATTGGGTTTACTTATAGGAGCATGGGTGGTTCATTCAAAGGCGGCTACACCACCAGGAAGTCCCCTAGGCTACGTTGTTGAAGAGTGTCCCCACCCCCTCCCTGGTCCCATCCCCCCCCCCAGTCCATCGTTTGTCTCTTCCACAGCTTGGGGAGTGACAAAAACATCTCCAGGATGGTGGGTGGTGCCCCTGAGAGTTCAGGGAGGTGATGATGCCTATCTTAATTGCTTAAGAGCCCTGGCTGCTCTTCCAGAGGACCAGGGTTCAATTCCCAGCACCTACACGGCAGCTCAGAGCTGCCTGTAACTCCAGTTCCAGGGGACCCAACAACCTCACACAGACATACACCACAGGCAAAATACCAATGCACATGAAATAAAAATAAATAAATTATCAAAAGGGTTGCTGTGGTCCATGCCGTCTCTTCCACAGCAATAGAAACCGTAACCAAGACAGAAATTGGTACCAGGAGTGGGGTGTCACTGTGATAGGCCTGACCATGCTTTTGTTTGGAGGAATGCGGACTTTGGGAGTTTGGATTAGAGAAGCAGTTGAACCCTTTAAGGGATGTTTAATGGGCCATCCTAACAGGAACATGGAAGACAGTGACGCTTGAGAGTGATTTGAAGTACAGGGGCCTGACCCAAAAAGTCTCAGAGGAGAAGAATGTCAGTAATGGCCTAGAGACTATTCTCCTGATATTCTGGTGAAGAATGTGTCTGCTTTTTTTTTTTTTGCCCTTGCCTCCAGCTCCTCCACAGCAACTCTTATAAAGGAAAACATGTAATTGGGGGCATGACAGTACACAGGCAGACATGATTCTAAAGAGGCAGCTGGGAGTTCTGTATCTGAATCCACAGGAAGAAGAGACTGCCACTCTGAGCCCGGCTTGAGCATCTGAGACCCCAAAGCCTGCACCCTAGCGACACACCTCCCCCAACATGGCCACACCTCCCCCAACAAGGCCACACCTCCTAATAGTGCCACTCCCTATGGGCATATGGGGGTCATTTTCATTCAAACCACTACAGTCCCCTTGCAACTCTTCAACGCTCAGTGTGCTAGGCATTCTGCTGCCTCCAATTGATGTGGGATGCCCTTCTGCATACTGTGGAATATGTATTGCTATTATTAGTTGATGAACAAAGCTGCTTTGGCCTACGGCGGGGCAGGATATCGCCAGGCAGGAAATCCAAGCAGAGAAACAGGGAGGAAGAAGGTAGAGTCAAAGATTCCTTCCAGCTACTGAAGGAGAAAGATGTCAGAGCATCACCAGCGAGCCACGGCCATGTGGCAGACACACAGATTAATAAAAACAGGTTAACTTAAATGTAAGAGCTAGCCCGTGATAAGCCTGTGCCAGTGACCAAACAATTGCAATCACCTCTGAGTGATTATTTTATGAGCAGCTGCTCACAGGGTGGTGTACATAGAGACTCAGGCTACATTTGGCATACCGATGTGGGGCTCTTGAATTTCCACAGGGCCTGAGAAAACGGGGGAGGGGGGAGGAGGGTTGTAGACATACAAAACAGAGCCAAAAACAGCTTCCTAGTTGTATCTCTCAAGAATTTGGGCTCGAGCACAACATAGTGGATTCCCACCACATCGCCAAGCCACACAGCACAATGCATAGCAGATTAAGCTTCCACCCAGACAGACAAAAAGGGTTTGTGGGCTGGCTGCACACTACCTGATGGCAGCATTGGGGAGGGGGGCAGGAAGCCTGACATTGATTGCTACCTTCATCATGTTGAAAGGCCAAGCAGGGCAGAACCAACAGCCAAATCGGGCACTCTGGTCCTAGCCATGCCCGCTTGAGAGTTTAAAGCAGTGATTAAAAAAAAAAAGGATGACAGATACACAATAAAGGCAAATTCAGACAAAAAGAATCCTCTAAACGGATCATAGTGTATTAAAAAAAAAAAAGTACGTAGGCTTGGGAGAGAGAGGAAAAAGACGGTTGTAAAAAAATAAATAGCTTTAAAAATAAAGTCTTTAAAGAGACAGTAAAAGTAACATAAAAGAAAAAATGCCACATAAAGATAGAAAACACACAGGGAATCTGGATCCTGTATGATAAATTGTGTTGATTTTGAATTTTTTTTTTTTTGGCTGCTGAAAAGCAAAGGGAGAGACATGGGATTGGAAGAGAAACTGATGAAATAAACCAACCTAAATACTTTTTAAATGCCTTAACTATAAAGTGAAAGTCACAAAGTATATTTGTAAAATGGAACTTAAAAGGTGCGTTGTTTTGGAGAAGAGGTTTTGTGTTTGTTTCCTTAGGAAACAAGAGGCTGTGGATCAGTTTCTGAACCTTGTCAACACAGATCACCACTGCTCCTCATTATCTCAAAATCTTATCAGGGACCCTAAAGACACTTCCTCCACAGACAGCAGGAAGCAGTTTGGAGAAAAGGAAGTCCACATTTTCAAGAGTGGGGGCGGGGTATGTATGGATGATCTTCGGTTATTTGGTAGATCATGGATGTTTATTATATTTAGGAGAATATAGGATAAAAAGACAGCTGTTAATCTCAGATGCTTTGCATTGGCATGGATTTTGGTATAATGATACAAATTTAAAGTTAATTTTCTTAACTATTATATATATATATATGCTTCTATTCTTGTTTAAAAGGATTCTTGCATATTGATACAACTTAAGGTCTACTCTTGTTGAAGGTGTTATGTTTATGCAGCTCATTTTAAAATGTGATATATAGCCGGGCATTGGTGGCGCTCGCCTTTAATCCCAGCACTCGAGAGGTAGAAGCAGGCGGATCTCCATGAGTTCAAGGCCAGCCTGATCTACAGAGCAAGTTCCAGGACACTGAGAGCTACCCAGTGAGACCCTGTCTCAAAAAACCAAAACAAGAATATAAAAAGTATAAAAATACTTTTTTGTGAGTAATTTAGTGTTTATAGTAATAGGATGTTTAAGAGAGAGGATGTGTGTGTTATAGGCTGCATCTCTGGGCCAGGACTACCAAAGCCCATGGAACCCAGAAAAATCTCACCGTGTTGGATTTGGGGTTTAACTCTGCTGGATTTTGGTCTTAGTTTGGTCTGGTCTTTCCTTGCTGACTGCTCACAATCCCCTTCAGAGTAAGAATATTCATTCTGTGCCATTACATATTGAAAGAATATAACTTATTTCTCGTTTTCTAGGAGTCTGCGGCTCAGAGATTGCCTTCGTGAGCACTTTCAAACGGTGCTGTGACTTTTGAAGTCTCATGAGTGTGTTTCTCACTGTGAGAAGGCATGATTCTATCTGGTCATGGTGCAACATTGTAACTTAAAGGTGAGGCGTTTGGGCGTTAGTTAGATTGAGAAGGAGTAACTGGTCATGGTGAAAGACCTCGGCATCAAAGCGCCGGGCACTGAACCGAACCCTCTGCCCAAGAACCAGGGCCAGACCATTGGCTGCAAATGCAAGAGGTGATTTATTGAGTACACAGGCGCCTGCGGATACTGCTGCAGCTCGGGTGCAGAGCATACCGGGCTTGTAGGGAGTACAATATTTATAGAGTTTTAATGGTTACATAAGTAACAGGCATTTCATTGGCTCATCTTGGGGTCAGGGATAGTTCCCACGGACTAAGTTTCCTGGTATTACTTTATGAAAGACCCCGGCACGCTTCAGCAATTATTATCCGGGTCCCATGACTACTATGGTGATCATAGACACAACTGGGGGCAAGGGTAGTTGCCAAGGACTAGGTGTCCTGGTATTGTCATATGAAAGTTCCCAGCACGCTTCAGCAATTATTATCTGGGTCCCATGATTGCTATAGTGATCAGAGACATCCTGTTTTGAGGGTGAGACACCTAGTCTGGGTTTTTCCACTAGGCAATGGCTTGGCTTTGTTTTTCTTTTCCTAGGGGGGCCCTGGGTAGGGGTCTTTCAATGGTTAATACTGATTGCCGATTTGACAGCCTCTATAATCACTGAAGAAGATATCCCTCTGGGCACATCTGTGAAGAACTCTCTAGATTAGTGTAACTGAGGAGGGAGATACATCCTGAATGTGGGCAGCGTCTTACAGGCTGTGGTCCTCGACTGAGAAGACAGAAGGAGGAAGAAAGCTGGGACCAGCATTCATCGATTCATGCGCATGCAGTGTGAGCAGCTCCTGCTGCTGGGAGGGACTGTCCCTCAGTCTGAACCAAAACTAACCTTTCCTTCCTTAAAAATATAGACTACTGTGATTTTATTGTTTTAGTCTGTTTTGGCTTTTTGCTTTGCTTTTGTTTTGAGACAGGATCTCTGTAAGAGCTGTGCTCAAATTCGTGATCCCCTGCCTCTGCTTCCCAAGCACTTCCATTGTTTCTCTCTGTTACATACTCTTGATGTTTCAGACAGCTACAAATTCATATTTGTCATTATTGCTTTCACTGACTAATACTCTATGTCCCATCATTATCCATCTCATCAGTCTTTGGGAAGTGTTAAAATCCTCTCAAGGAGCTGGAGAGAACACCCCCTTCCCCCCCCATAGTTAAGAGCACTTCTTGCTCTTCCAGAGGACTCAAGTTCAATTCCCAGCACCCACAGTGGGGCTCACCGCATTTATAACTCTCCAGGAGATCCGAAGCTATTTTCTGACTCGCTTGGGCACTTGACATACACAGGGTGCACACGAATACCTGTAGGCAAGCCACTTATCTGCACGTGTAATGTAGTAAAAATCATTAAGCCTTCTTTAAAAAACGAAAAGCATTCATCTCCTGGGGACATCCCCTAACCTCATTCCAGCGTGGAGGCTCAGGGCTTCTGCAGTGAGTGGCTGTTGTTTGGAATCAGTCCCCTCCAACAGCATCCCACACTCCCGCCACTGTGGGAGTCCAGATCCTCTATCTTTATTTCTTGGCTCCTTCTTGTGGATGTTATGAGGCTAGGTATCTGAATGCGTCCTTACTCTCACTCTGATGACGTGCCACAGAACACGCACTCTGTTTGTGACAAAGGCTCCTCGTGTTGAGGCTCAAAACCCAATGGTACTGTATTCCAGGTCCCCTGGGCTTCTCCCGAAACCAGCACCGTGGTAAAGCTTCTGTTCCTTTCTGGAATTTTTAGAATGGCTCTTCATCCTCCATTCCCTGAGGCGTCATGATCATATGCCTTGGTACGTATAGGTCTTTCCATTGGTCTAAGATTGTACCGCCACACCTCCCTGTCACGAATCTGGGAATTTGTGCTGTCTGAATTGTGCTTTTGTAGGGTACAATCAAACCTGTGGCCTTGGGCTTGCTAAGCAAGTGGTCAACCAAGGAACCGTCCCTTTGTCCCTTGGGATTGTATTGTGAGAAAAGGACTCACCATATAGCCCAAGCTGACCCAGAATTCGTAATCCTCCTGTCTCAGTTTCCAAGGTGCTGGAATAACAGGCAGTCAGCCAGTCAGTCCATCCGTCAGTCCGTCTGTCCCTGTGTGTGTGTGTGTGTGTGTGTGTGTGTGTGTGTGTATGTGTGTGTCCTGCTTGCCATCTCTGTAAAGTTAATTCTTACTTGTTCTACAGTAGCTGGTATCCATTTCTTTTTTGTTGGAAAACAATCTCAAACACAGAAACATTGCAGAACAGTACAAAGTTCCTTTCCAGAGTTCTTTGTGATGGGGCCCTATCACTGTAAAAAATTTTTAACATGTATTTTCTACAAAGGTATCTTTTAAACATCAGAACATTAGCATTTATATTTTACTATTAAGTCATCCCTGGATCCAGTTCAAGCTTGGTCATTTGACCCATCAATGCCTTTTATATCAAAAGCACTTCAGGGAATGTCCTGTTACTTATAGCTGTCAAATCTCCTTAGTTTTCAAATGTCTAGAACAGGATCCCCGAACTCGGACTTTTCAGGTGAAACTGTGGTAATCCTGCCAAAGACACAGGACCTGAGTTTAACTGTGAAGGACCCCAAATAGGAGATAATCTAGGTTTCTAGCCTGCCGTCTTCAGAAGGTCTTTATTTTGTTCACACTTGGTTGAGGTAAAGTCTGTGGAGTCCTAACTGTGCATTTTCACCTCTTTGGATTTGTTGTTTATTTGTTGGTGTGTTTGAGACAGAGTCTCATTATGTAGCTCAGACTGGCCTGGAACTTGGGGTGATCCTCCTGGCTCTGCCTCCCAAATGCCGGGGTGAAAGCTGCAAGCTACCATATCCTGCTCCGTCTGTAATTTGTACATATTTTTATAGTGATTCGAGGCTGTGTAAACATATCAGTCTGTTCCCTTGTTTGTCTCTCTCAGTATGAATCCGTAGGAGCCCGTTCTTGTTCTATTTGGTCCGTAACTATGTACACCTCTGTTACTTTGGTTTTGGTACAAAGCAGATTTGCTAGTAGGTGTCTGTTCAAACGGGCTTCCAGGTTCTTCTAACCTGTTCCTGTTATTGGAGAGTGCTTCTGTATCTTCTGGTAAAAGATGATCTTGGCTCACCTGCTGTATTTCCTGTCTCTGCTCTAGATTCGGCCATTTCTCTAAAGAGACCTGGTTCCTTCAGTGGAGGGTAGATGCTGACACCGGAATGTGCGTACCAGGCAACCTCACTGTCATCAGATAATCCCACAATTTTTCAGTAACAAGCTTGGGGATCTGGGAGTTGGGGTACATACCCACTCATTACCATCTGTGTGTATTTATTTTGTTATGGAATGACATCTACTGACAGTGCTGGGACTTAGACCCAATTTGATACAATCTATCAAACAAGCATTAGTCTACACGGGTATCTCCAGTTCCAAACCAACATAGGTCTTTCTGTTTTGTTTTGTTTTGTTTTTTTGAGACAGGGTTTCTCTGTGGCTTTGGAGCCTGTCCTGGAACTAGCTCTTGTAGACCAAGCTGGTCTCCAACTCACAGAAATCTGCCTCCCTCTGCCTCCTGAGTGCTGGGATTAAAGGTGTGCACCACCACTTTCCTGCTCCAACATAGGTCTTTTATCAAACACATTCTTTTTAAGTATTTTCCTCCAACTCCCATTTTTCTCTGTGTCTTTGCTTATTTTATGAATTTCCTTGTATGTGACTGTTAGGCTCATGCTTGCTTAACTTAATTAACTCTCCTTATGCTGGCTTTAAAAAAAGTTTATTTTCAAGGTAACTACCACCATCTGGCTCTAGTTTATTTTTAATTACGCGCATAGGTGTGTGTCTGTGTATCCAGCATCCATGGAGGACAGAAGAGCGTCTTAGATCCCCTTGAGCTGGAGTTACTGGGGTTGTGAGCAGCCAGCCCATTGTGGGCACTAGGAAGAAAACTTGGGGTCTCCTGGAATGGAACAACATGGTCTTTATCTGCAAAGCAATCTCTGTAGCTCCATTCACTGGCTTACATTTTAATGACATTTTGTTTACTTTGTGTGTGCATTCATGTGCCTCTGTGTGTGTGTTTTTTGTATATGTTTGCATATCATAGAGCACATGTGGAGGTCAGAGAATCAGAGGACAACATCTGGGGGGGTTTGACCTCTCCTTCCACCACGTTAGTTCTCGTGAGTGGAATCGAACTCGGGGTTGTTAGACTTCAAGCGGTAAGCACGTCCGCCCACTGTGTGGCAGCGCTAGCCCCTCTTTCTTTCTTTTAAAGTAACACGATTACGAAACACACACACAAAACATAAGCTTGACAGGTTTAGACATATGCGTGCACACACCTCTGAAGCCGCCACAATCAAGACAACGAATGTGCCTCCCCCGCCCTCCACAGTCTCCTGACCGACCTTCTTAGTCCTGCTCCTGGCGGTCACTCGAGGTTTACGCTAGCCCAGCCCTTGGGAGACGGCACCGTCAAACCGAGTCAGAGAACGCGGCGCTGGCAGCACAGGCAGACAGGGACCCGGAACTCAGCCCTGCCCTTCTTAGCGTGTGTAGATTAGACGCCGTGACACTTTCACGCCCGTGTTTTTATCGTATTAAGCTCACATCACTCTCTCCACACTCATGAGCCTGTGTGGAGGAGGCGTGTCTTGAGTGTTTGGGGGGAGAGTTGTGGGGGAAAGCTAGGAGTCCCATATTTCATTATATACGTGAATATATTTTCAAAAGTAAAGAAACATTTTTTTTTGAAAGAGGACTTACCTATTCAGTATAAGAAAGCAAACAAAACCCAAGAGAGAAGCAACCGCCAGTGGTTCCATTTTAGAAGTAGTAGCCTGGAACTCGCTCTTGTAGACCCGGCTGGCCTCGAACTCACAGAGATCCGCCTGCCTCTGCCTGCTTGAGTTCCTGCTTGAGGACTCGGGAGTGGAGGTGATGGGCGAGGGAGGAGGAGGGGGATAGAGGTGTGTGTTGGGGGTGGGGGGATGGCTGGCAGAGACCTCACCTCCTTGCTGGACCAGAGGAGAGAAAGTCACTAGGAAAATGTCCAGACCCCATGGTCCCGTCTCGTGGATTCTGTGCCCTTTGCAGAACGGCAGTCTGACTTTGCGCGTGAGCAGCTGTGGTAAGGAGGATGGCAGGGTGTGAAGGTTTGGGGAGGTTTGGTTTTGTTTTTGGTGAGGAGGAGGATGGAGGCCGGGGCTTCATGTAAGCTGGGCAGTTACTGTATTGCAAAGCCACACCCCTAGCCCTAGGACCTGAGTGTGTACATCAGGGTTAGGTCCCTGAGGGGAACCCTGCGGTCCGTGGAGAGGCCCTGACCTCCCTCTGAGAATTCTGCTCTGCCCAGCCACTTCCCATCCACCGTGCCACCACATCCTCCCCTGTGTCCAGTCCGGGCCCCAGCGAAATGCTGCTTCCCAGGGTCAAGGGTTGCTTCTGCGGGCAGCTCTAAGGGACTGCCCCTCTCCTCTCTTCTCTTCCCTTTTTGAAAGAAGTTAACACAGGGTCTCGCTACGTAGCCCTAGCTGGTCGGGTACTCGCTCTGGAGACCAGGCTAGCCCTGAACTCACTGAGATCCACCTGCTTCTACCTCCGACTGCCGGGGATCAAAGTTTGTGCCGCCAGAACCGCTGACTTCCTGACCCTTCTGTTTACTCCCTCACCCATCTTCCGGCTGTCAGCTTCTCCGGAACTCTGGGTCCACAGCAGTGGCTCCAGGCGCAGGAGTCCAGGTCTGCGGGGCCTCGAGTCCCCCCCCTTCCCTCCCCCTCCTCTACTCCTCCTCCACTCCTCACGCACAGCACTCCAGGGTGATTTTCTGCTAAGAACCAGAAAGCCTACTAGACACATTGTGGAAGAGCTGTGACCTTTGGCCTAGAGCCTTGACTGGGAAGCTACAGCTGCAGCCCTCCCCCCTTGGCTGGCTGACGTCTCTGCAGCCCTCCCCCCTTGGCTGGCTGACGTCTCTGCAGCCCTCCCCCCTTGGCTGGCTGACATCTCTGCAGCCCTCCCCCCCCCCCCGGCTGACATCTCTGCAGCCCTCCCCCCTTGGCTGGCTGAGGTCTCTGCAGCCCCCCCCCAGCTGAGGTCTCTGCAGCCCTCCCCCCAGCTGAGGTCTCTGCAGCCCCCCCCAGCTGAGGTCTCTGCAGCCCTCCCCCCAGCTGAGGTCTCTGCAGCCCTCCCCCAGCTGAGGTCTCTGCAGCCCTCCCACCTGGCTGACATCTCTAGCTGTGTGGTTCTCTTGGTTGGAGCATTTCTCACTGCTTAAAAAAAAAAATGCTACGTTACTCCACCTCTATTATGTAGTTCCGCTTTTTTTCCTTCATCGCTTAACTTTTTTTTTTTTTTTTATTTTTACGAGACAGGGTTTCTCTGTATTGTTTTGGAGGCTGTTGGTCCAGCCTGGCCTAGAACTCACAGAGATCCGCCTGCCTCTGCCTCCCGAGTGCTGGGATTAAAGACGTGCGCCACCACTGCCCGGCTATTTTCTTTCTTTTTGAGGGTGCTAACACCCCACTGTTTGTATGCCGTGCTTTGTTTACTCATTCGTCTCTGGGCAGACGCTTGGGTTGTTTCTGCCGCTGGCTCTGATGAATTATGCTACTGTGTACGTGGTTGTGCAGGTGTTTTTGGTCCCCGCACGCAGTTCTCCTGAGTGTTTACCTGGAAGTGGAGTTGTTGGTAATTCTATAATTCGGAGGGAATTATCAAACTACTTCCACAGCAGCTACATTATCTTATATTCCCAGTAGCCATCCATAAGGGTTTTTGATTTCTTTATATCCTGGCTGATACTAATAAATTTCCATTTTTCCTTTTCTTTTTTTTTTTTTTTTGACAGTATTTCTCTGTGTAGCTTTGACTATCCTGGAACTCACTTTGTAGAACAGGCTGCCCTCAAACTCAGAAATTTGCCTGTCTCTGCCTCCTGATTGCTGGGATTAAAGGTTGGCGCTGCCACGCCCAACTAATTTCAGTTTTTCTCTCCCTAAGAGGCGTTCTAATGAGTTCATGACCTTATCTTGTTTTACGTCATTAGCAAAGACTGTACTGTTACTGTTGTTGCCATTAAAGACAGAGCCGTATTATATTATATAGCTCTAGCTGGCTTCATACACACTGTGTAGCCCAGGCTTGCCTAGAACCTCTCAATGCTAGGATTGTAGGCACGTGCCACTGTGCCCAGCACCAAGACCCTGATTTCAAGTAAGAATCCATTGTGGGGTTCTAAGAAGAATATAGCTTTCTAGATGGACACTATTAAATCCAGAATTTCTCATAAGAAGACTGAAGAGCATGATGTCCAGAAATCAAATTTCCCATGAGCAGGTTTTGAGCCTGATTAATGACTCTCAGAATTTAAATAAGGGAGGCCCTAGTCATTCTTTCTCATGCTGACGGCTGAATTGCTGCCGCTTTGTGAGGGAAAAGCTGTTGGGTGAACTGGACAGACACACGGACGTTTACGTTTCGTGCAGAGTACCGGGAGCTCAAAATAGCAAATGCCAAGACCATTCTGAACCAGCAGGCCGAAAGCCAAGACAAAAGCGTTCGTATGTTAGCTAAGTTGTTAAATATACACGCATTAGTTAGGGTTTCTATTGCTGTGATGAAACACCATGGCTATAAGGAACTCGGGGAGGGGGAGGGGCGGGTTTGTTTGGCTCCCACTTCCACATCGTAGTTTATCACTGAAGGAAGTCAGGGCAGGAACCTGGAGTGAGGAGCTGATGCGGAGGCCGTGGAGGAGAACAGCCCAGGATGGCACCACCCACAGTGGGCTGGACCCTCCCACGTCAATCACCAATTGACAAAATGCCCTACAGACTTGCCTACAGCCTGATCTTGTGGAGGCATTTTCTCAGCTGAGGTTCCCTCCTCTCCGATGACTCCAGTTTGTGTCAAGTTAACAACAACAAAAACAAAAACAAAAACCAGCCAGAACGTGGCCTGCTCTAATCATCCCTGCTGCCTGGGAGGCTAAAGTAAGATCCTAAGTTCAAAGCCAATCTGGGCAAAAAGGTGAGTTTCGGTTTCGGAACTTGTCACGTCTGCTGCTCAGCCTGTGTCCAAGAACGTGCGGAGGGTGTCGGGGATTGACAACACAGAGACTCGTTCGACGATATAAAGAAAACTTTAAACAGGCTCCAAAAAGGTTCAAGAAAACCTCCTAAGAAAAGCTCCCACCAGAGAAGCTTCTGCTCTCTCCTCTACCCTGGCTGGTTCAGCTCTGACCCAGAGGTGGATGTGTGTGGGTTTTTAAGGTGCGATTAGTCTTTGGACAAGGTCGAGGTCAGGGCGGTTTCCGTGGGAAGGCCTTTCCCAGGAACTTATTGTATCGTTTTTAGTAAACATGTTTTTACTAAACATTGTCTTACAGCTGCCTACTCCCAGGCAGAAGGGGAAGTGGGTCTCTGCTCAAGGTCTGGTGTTCCCACAATTCACCCCTTTTTATTTTCAAATGAGGCACTCCTGGCTTAGGTCAAGTAGGGTCACCCTCCCTTTCCCGTCCTTGGGGGACCTTGAACCCCTGTTTTAGGTGGGAGGGGTCTTCCCCACAGGTTGTCCGTCATCGGAGATACCCCAACCTTAAATCATCTGTAACCAACCTTCATGGCTATCGGGATTGCCATGGGCTAAGCTAAGCAATACTTGGTTACGGATCTCTTGTTTCTGGAACAAGGCATGTTTGAGCTCGGCATAAAGCCAGAATGCCTACCGCCACTGCCACCATTTCCAGGACCCCCATTGACATAGCGCCTCTCCATCACCATACCCATCACCAGATCTGGGCCATAACATTCTACCAGCCTTCGTCTGTTACAAGGGTAACCTGCACGTGATTTACATTCTGTTACAAGGGTAACCCGCATGTGATTTACATTTACAATTTGATAAAGTTTCCAATTGTTTCAAGATCTGCTCAGGAAAGCATTTAGAAAGTGCACTTGCACAGATACATTAGGTACAATCATTGATGTTACACATGTAGCATTACGAAAAATATGAACAATAGTTGTCGCATTAGGACAAGTTGCATTTCTCCAGAAAAATACACTGGCCTAGTCGTGATTCCAGAAACAGGAACCATTAAGTCTGATATTTCAAGTGACCATGTCCTGTTCAAATACTGAAAAGAGGCTTTTGCCACTCATCATAGTCCATACCAATGTCCAAATGCTTTAAATGGGTCCTTTTTTCTCTGTTGGCTTCACAATGAAAACTCATGGGTCCGGAAGGTTGATGCAGCAGGTCTGTTGAGAAACTGGAAATCTCAAACCGACTGTTTTCTTTCTTTCTTGGGCTCTAGATTCGATGACATCAAGGGTCAAGAACACTGATTTAGGAGATCTCACTCAAACTGGCTTAGGTAGGCTCCCATGGTCTCAGGTCCAGTTTTTCTCTGCTCCATGCATCTCACTAAATGGTCTGACAGTTGCCGAAGCTTTATTCTTTTCCTGCAAGAAAACACAAACATGCCCTCGACCCCAAATTAGGGTCTTCTCCACTGTTTAGTGCATGGATGTCTTCATTTGACCTGAGCAATGGTTGCTCAAGTTCCATCATGCCAGAATCTGTCTGAAGCTCACTGGCATTCACATTATAAAATTTTTAAATGAGGAATGTATTATTTGATGAATCATGTGGGGACTGGGGGCATTAGGAACTTAACTAGACCCTGTCTCAAAATAAAAGATGAAAAGAGCTGTGGGTACTTGCCTAGCACGTATGGCCTTAGAATCAACTCCTGGAACTATAGAAGCAAGCAGACATGTTGTTGTTGTTTTGTTTTTCAAGACAGGGTTTCTCTGTATTGTTTTTGGAGGCCGTCCTGGAACTCGCTCTGTAAACCAGGCTGACTTGGAACTCACAGAGATCCTCCTGCCTCTGCCTCCCGAGAGCTGGAATTAAAGGTGTGTGCCATCACCTTCTCTGTCTGTGTCTTAACACTGCACGCAGCCTTACTTTCTGCTGCAAGATGTTTGATGATTTTCTTTTAACCCTTAGAATATCATGTGAATTATTTATTTATTTATTTATTTATTTGATTTTTTCCAGACAGGGTTTCTCTGTAGCTTTGGAGGCTGTCCTGGAACTCACTTTGTAGACCAGGCTGGCCTCGAACTCACAGAGATCTGCCTGCCTCTGCCTCCCGAGTGCTGGGATTAAAGGCGTGTGCCACCAATGCCCGGCTCATGTGAATTTTTTAAAGTTTGTGGGTTTTCAATTATTATCCAAGTTAGATTCAAGCTCCTGAACTCAGGAGACCCTCCTGCTTCAGTCTCCTGAGAAGCTGGGACCACGGTCCTGTCTGGATTTTTTATTATCATTGACATTTTAAAGAATTGCATACATGCATGTGTGCATACGTGTGCATGCATGTGTGTGTTTGCATGTGTGTGCTTTTGAGTGTGTATGTGTGAGTATGCATGTGTGTGTGGGG